ATGTCTCGCTCTGTGGTTCCCAAGGCTGCAGCTGTGATGGGAGCACATCACTCATCTTTGCAGCAGCTGGTGGGTCTGAACCACTGACCTTCTGGTTAGCAGCCCCACACCTGACAGCACCACCAGGGCTCCTGAGACAAGCACAGACGTGTTCAGAGTAACCAGGGTGCTGCAGGTGTTCCTGTGTGTGGTTCAAAGTGTGCCCGGCCCTCCATGGTGGCCCAGGGTGCCACTCATGTCATACAACACTGCCTTCCAGCCTTACCCCAAACACCCCCAGCCCTTTGCAAACCTGGCTTGCAGGCCTACAGGCAGCCCAAAGAGGGGGGACGGGGACGGAGAGAGCTTGGCTTACGTGAGCTTCTGTGCTCCCTTCTTCGCTGCCTCCTCCGCCCCATCGTGGTCCTGGGGCTCGCGGGCTGGACTCCACAGGGAAGAGTGCCGGGGTTGGCGCAGGAGAAGGCGTGGTTCATGGTTGGCGAGGAAAAGGGCGTGGAGGACAGGGCTGGGGAGATGAGGGCACCACCCTGTGAACCCCAGCTGGGCCCCTCCGCCTACCCCACCAAGGGTTTCAGGGAGCCAATCCAGTACCAGGAGCCTCCTCGGGTTGCCTTCCCTCTTTGACAACTCACTACTTGCTGTGTGATCGCAGAGGTCTCCGTCCCTCTCGGAGCCTCACAGACCTGGTCAAGCCTGGCTCTCAGGGGCAAGAACCCATCTCAGCCCACCCCCATCAGGACTGGCAGCCTCCTGACTTCCCTGCCTCTTTGGTTCCGCCCCTGCCAAGCAGGCACAACCTCATTTCCAGGGGAAGGGTGGGAAGGGCTGGTGGGCCTATTACATCTGCTCTGGTCCTGGCCAGCCGGCGTGGTCCAGCTAGATGCCCTGCAGTGGCTGGGGGGCCGGGGACTGTGGCAGGAGGGCAGGCATGGGTCCCAGCGAGGCTGCTCACTCCTCTGCACCTTCACTGGTGGGCAAGAGAAGAGAGGGAGGGCAGGCGTTAGACCGAATGGCGCCCCCGCACGCTCCTATCTACACCATGGAGGAGGTATCGAGGGCCCGCATGGCCTGGCAAGGCATTGCCACTCTGCTCACATGGCCTGGTCACCTGGTGTCGCACAGTGTCCAGACACCACCTGCAGCGCCCCCCCACATCACACCTGGTGTGTGGGGGGGAGGTTCCACCTAGCTCTGGAGCCCAGAGAAGAATGCAGTTGGCTGGTGGCCGTCAGTTGCACAGCCTTGAGGCCTGGCCCCATCTGGCAACAGTGGAGCAAAGCAGGGTAGATGGGACACACGGCCGGGTGTGTCATTTCTGCTCTTCCCCAGACTCTCGGGGGCAACTTCTGTTCCAAGGGTCTTAAGGGGTCAGCTGAGATGGGATCAGATATGGCTTCTGCTTCCCCGCTTGACAGGCCTGCCCCCCACTGTGGAGCACAATGCGACTGTGACACACGCTGGATTCCATGCCCGGATGCACAGAGAAGTTCAACTCAAGGGCAGGCAACGGGAACTGCTGACCCCAGTCAACCCCACACATGCCTACCCCAGCCAAGCAGCTATGCCTGAGATGGGGACTCAGCCACGCCCCCTCACACTCTCCCCATGAGCCCCCTTCCAGCTAGCTCTTCTCTGTCCTGGCTTTGGGGGCTCTGGCCTGGTCCACTGTTCCTTGGACGGATGGGTGGGGACCCACCGGTCTCTGCCTGTTGGAATCTCCTGCTTAAATGCTTCCAGGGCTGGGGAGCTCACCCCGGCTGAGCGCCTTCCTCCCACCTCTCCTCCCTGTGCAGTGTCCCTGCCCCTATCCTGGGGCCTGGCAGACCCTATGGTCAGCGACATGAGTGAAATCCTGGCTCCATCCCTGACCAACTGGGGGGAGTGGACAAGTCACTCAGGCTCTCTGAGCTTCATAGTCATTATCTGCAAAATAGCACTAAAATAGTGGCTGTCTCCTAGGGTAATGGGGAAGATAAAAATGAGTTAATTTCTGCTTAAGGGCCTGGGGCAGGGCCTGGCCCTCGGCAGATCCACCACAAGGGACACCCAGGGGATGGGGACCACCCATGGGACCTCACTGCCTTCTTTGAGCCTCATCTATAAAGCGGGACGATAACACTGGCCCAAAGAATTGTCGAAAGGAGGACAGAAGAGCCCTGCACTGGTGTGTTCAATCTGGCTGACCTCAGAGTACAGCCCAATGCACCCCCCCACACACACACCACTCGGCTCCTGTTTCCAGTCCTGGCCGGGGCCCAGAAATAGACCCCTCCCAGACCCGCCCCCACAGTCGATCCGGAAGACGTGAGACTGGGTTTGCAAAGCCACAAGTGGATACTTCATCCCCGGACCTCAGCCCTGCTGGGGTCTTCCTACCCATGATCTCCTTCTTCTCCCCAGAACTCGGGCCCTCATCCAAGCTCCAGACCAGGGGGCTGCAGGTGGCTCCGAGAGGGGGTATCCCTTGTCCACTGGGTGGAAGTGAAGTGAGTGCTTGAACCCGACCGGAGGGAGGCCTGGGCCGCAGGAAGGGCTTCCCCACTCAGACCTCAAAGCTCCCTCCCTTTGGCCCTTCTCTACCCTGCCCTGCGCCCCAGCTCTGGTGGCTCCCTGATCTGGGCTGGGAACCCTCTCAAGCCTCCCTTCTGCTTGGCTGCCTCCCTGGGACCAGCCAAGAGCCCAGGATCCAAGATCTAACACCGCGGCGCACAGAAGCATTGTCCTCTGCTCCATTCTAGTCCTGACACGTCTACCAGTGCCATCCGCTTCGAAGGCCGCCAGGACAGCAGAGTCTCCGCTCACACCCACACCGGCAAGTTGTTCCTCTGTCCCACTGTCCCAGCATCAGCCACTTCGAGCCACCATGCCAGCTGCCCTGTCCAACTGGGCATGTGTTCTAGGAAGTTTTCAACGGGAAACCCCCGTCTGCCCAGAGTGTTTTTTTAAATCATTTTATTGGGGACTCTCACAGCATTCCATACATCAATTGTATCAAGCATATTTGTACATGAGTTGCCATCATCATTTCCAAAACATGTTCTACTTGAACACGAAGTGCAAGCTCCTTGTTTCCCCTCCTTCCTCCCACCCACTCCCACCCTCGTGAGTCCTTGATCAATTACATATTGCTATTATTATTTCGTATCTTACACGTCTGTCATCTCCCTTCACCCACATGTCTGCCCAGAGTTTTGATAGGGAAGCTCTCGGGCCCCACGCACCCAGCCCCCGGCCCACCCCATCAGCCCTCAGGCCTAAGCCTGCAGACCTTGCCAGGGGACCCACCTGCCTCTGTGGGCTTCAGAGGTCGCCGACTTTGGGGCGCGGGCAGGATCTCCAACTGCACTTTCTCCGAGACGCTGGCCAGGAGCTTGGTGGCCTCGAGCAGCGAGCAGTGCTCTGTGCTGGTGCCGTCGATGGAGAGGATGTGATCCCCAGCGTGCAGCGCCCCGCTCCTGGCCACGTGGGGAGTGGAGGGGAAGGCTGCGCCAGGACGGACAGAACTCTGGGCCACCTCCGCCCACCGGGGCAGCATGCCGGGTGTGCCTCACCTGTCCACCACGCTGGCTGGCTTGATGCGGTCAATGGTAACGATGGACTTGCTGCGGTGGGAGCGCATGGTGAGCGAGATGCCCAGGGTGGAGCCTGGAGTCTTGGCAATCTCCACCATCAAGGGCCCGGATGCACTGGCCACTGTGTCTGGCACCGTGGAAGGAGAGGAGCCCCTTAAGATGCAACAGCTGAGAGCCTTCTGCCTCAGCGTAGGTCACCAACTTAACCCCCATCACCCAGGGCTATTATACCCATTTCAACAGACAAGCCAACTGAGTGTGGCGAGGTGGGGGCCTTGTCCCAGTTCACCTGGCCGGCCAGCCAACAGCAGAGAGAGGGCTGTGCTGTGAGGCTGGGGGACTGATTCCTGGGCTGTGCTGGCCAAAAATCATTTGCTAGTATTGAGCGCCTGCTGGATACCAGACACGAAGCTGTGGGTGCTTACTATAATCCTCCTTTATCTCCCATCTCCACCACCAACTCAGTTGCTCAAACGCATCCCTTGGCTGTTGTTCTCAGCACACCGCTCTTTCCCTCCCTGGCTGCAGCCAAGGAAGTCACGTCAGCTTGGCCTTCCTCATACCTTCTGGCTCCCACCCCTCCTGCCCACCTCCGCAGCCCACAGCCTGAGCCAGCCATCAGCATCTTTCCCTGGGGTGGCTGCAGATGCCTCTTATGGCTCTCCTGGCTGCCACTGCCACCTCCCCTTTGCCCTGTTCTCAGGTCACAGAGAGGAACAGGTCAACCAGGCCCTGCAGGTCTGGCCCTGACACTGCTCTGCCCTCACCTCCTCCCAGCCTCCCATTGTTCATCTGCTCTGGCCACAGCAAGCCTCCTCGCCATTCCTTGAGCATGCCCACCAGGCTCTTGCTTCTGTGCTTTGGCGTCTACTGTTGCCCCTGCCTGAAATGCTCCTCCTGCAGATATCCGCATCACTCCCTCCCTCCCGGAGCTAATGAAGAACATTGTCCGGCCTTTCCTGTCTTTCTTGCGGCCATCCAACACAACCTATTCCATTGATTTGGCTGGTAATCTGCCTCTTCCACCAGAACGCCAGATCCTGGGGAGCGGAGGCCCCACCTGGCTTGTTCCAGGTTGGGTGCCCTGTGCATCCAACAATGGCAGGCACTCAGCGAGGTGCACAAGGCCTCGCAGCCTTTGCAATGATAAGGATTTGTGCCCACTGCCCACCCCAGCCCCTACCTCCTCCTGCCCCAGCCCTCCTTGCCCTTGAACCCACTCACCCGGGATGGCCACGTCATACTCCACCTGGAAGAGGGCCTCATGGCTACACTGCTGCAGGGTGGCCAGGGCAGCAGCGTGGCTGGCCCCGTGCAGAGGGACACCATCGATGCTGAGTAGCCGGTCACCCGCCTTCAAGGAACCCTCCCTGCAGGGAAGGGTCGTGCACCTTCAGAGGTGGTGGGGCTCCGAGGACCAGCACAGGCAGAGAGCGAATGGGAATGAGTGGATGAAACCAAGGGTGGGGAGTGGGGAGGGGGGGGTGGTGTCAAGCCCAGGGTGACTTGAAGGCGCCCAGTCTAGGTCCAGACTCAGTCCCAGCTCAGTCCTCCAATGTTCGAGCTGGGGGTGCCCTTCGATCACTCACATCCAGGGCACACGGTGTCAGGGGGTGCACACCACCCACTCCCTACCCCCATGTGATCAGTAGGGACTCTGGCCTGGTGACAAAGGGACCTGGGAAAGAATTCAGCAGGGAGGCCAGGGGGGAGGCCCCCGCTAGAGTTCCCCTCTGTCTCACTTTGCCCAGAACACATGTTCCAACATGAGGTCAAAGCTAATTTGGGTGGTTCTATGAATAGCGTATCCTAGGGCCCCGTCCCAAAGACTGATTCAGATTCCTGGCTTCTCTTAAAATGGCCAGGAAGCTCCCGGCTGTGAAGCCAGGGTGTCAGGGGCACGTCTCTCCTCCTGGCCCCTCTGGGCTAGGCCAAGACAAAGCAGGTCTGCTCTGTGTAGCCAGGGCTCAGGAGGCAGGGTTACCGCTAACCTGCCCCCCAAACTCTCATGATCACGCTCACAGGCTATAGCATTGGACCCATTGCAAAGGCATGGAAAACTGAGGTCCAATGAAGGGGAGACTAGCACCAAAATTCACTGCGACAGTAGCATGCTGGGGAAGAAAGAGCTTGCCATCCCTCCCATCTGGAGCCTGGGCAGGCATGCTGCTCCTCTAGGCCCAAGAGCTTCATTTGGGACATGGGTTCAATGCTGACTTTTATTTTTTTTCCACGAGGCTGCTGGGGGAGGTGAGTGCCCTGTGGATGTCAGTAAGGGTTCCTCAGGCCCAGGGCTTACCTGTCAGCTGGGCCACCAGGCCGCACATAGGTCAAGACGAGTGGGCGGGACTTATGGCCATCTTCATGGGAACCTCCTAAATGGAATTCGACAAGAGGTGGCTTTCATCTACCCCATCCCCTTCCCTGATGCCTGGAGGCTGGATCCAGCTCCTGAGTGGGCTCCCCAGTTCAGCTGTGTGAGGATCACGTCCTTGCTACCTCAGATGCTCCAAGGGACACTGAGACATCAGCAGTGAACTGGTACCAGAGGAAAGGGTGGAGACCATACTGGAAGTCTGCTCTGCCACAAGGCTTAGTTCCCATCCTATGATGTCATGCTATTTCCTTTTTTCACTAGGCTGCTGGGCAGCTCCAGACTCAAATCTCTCAGCAGGAGCTTTTCAACATGATTTTGGGGTATAACTACTTCCTCTTACTCTGTTTAGAAGTCATCTCCCTGAGAGTATCAGCCATCCGGAGCAATCAGACCCTACTGTCGGTCCCACCATAAGTGGGGCCCACTTCCTGCTGATAAGGATAGTAGTGGATTATTCCCCTCTGACAGCCAGAAGCAAGCTATTAAAAGATACATTCCTTAAGGTTAAACAGAACACGAGCGGAATTCGTATGAACCCCACTCCTGCCCCCTGGTCTCCAGGGAGGGTGACTCGCATGCTGACCTCTGAGGACAAAGCCAAAGCTGTTGCCCTCCTTGTACAGGGAGACATCCACCGTCTTTGAAAGGATTCCCGGGTTGTGCTCCAAGGCTGGGGAGAAATGGAGAAGAACTCCGTGAGTCCCTCGGTCACTTATCAAGCTGGCAGATTGCCCAAAAGCCCATTCCAAGAGGGATGGGTGACCAGTGACAGAGAGACGTCGTAATCCCTTTTTCATTTGATAGGTAGGAAAAGTGAGGCTTCGAGGGCCCTCCTTCCCTCACACCCACTCAGTCCACCTCTTAGAGAGACAATGGCAGAACTCGGGCTCGAGGCCCCGGCCGGCTCAGGCTCAGGCTCAGGCCAAGGTCTCATTCCAGACAGGTGACTCACATTTCAAGACTTTAAACCAACTTTGAAAAGTCAGAGAGAGGCCACAGTGCTCAGCTGCCGAGTGGTGCAAACCACAGGGTGCAGAACCATTCGCTCAGCCAGTGATCCTTCCTACAAGGAAGCCTTCTCTCTCCCACCACCACCGGAAACTAAACGTAAAAACGGCAGTGGGTTTTAGGCAAAGCCCCACCCCCTCCTGGTGACAGCATATACCACCAGAGTGGACAAAGGCCCTAGCAGAGGCCTGAATGTTTGTGGACAGCGTCCTTGGCCCACCCATTCCATCTGGCCCACCCCACCACCCAGGACCCTGTGGGGAGACAGCTATGTCCACCCACACCAGAGGCAATGGAGAGAGCATCCCCTGCGAGGGAGGGCACCCACCGGGCGGGGGCAGCTCATACTCCACCTCCAGCACCACACGCTCGCCCACGTTCTTAAGCAGGGTGATGATCTCGTCGTGCCGGAGCCGGGTCAGGTGGATCCCATTCACGGACCGGATGTAGTCACCCACGTTTAGCAGGTCGCTCCTGCGGGTGCACACAAAGTCACCGGGGCGGCTCACTGGACACCTTCGTCCAGGTGCCCGCGGGGCTGGCGGCCGTCCGCATTCACCTGCTGTACATTTCCTAGGACCTTGTTACCCGCATCTCACAGAAGGAGAAGCTGAGGCTCAGAGAGGATTCTGACCTAGACCTGTCTGACCCGAGGCCTGCTGTTCCACCTGTCTTGGTGGTTGGCCCTGGATGAACCTACAGCATAGACAGATCATCACGGCCTTTGCTGTTACCAAACACTCTTCCTGCGTTTCACCATGTATCAGCTCTGTTCAACTGAGCAATCACCAGGCCCTGTGCTGGGTGCCCACAGAGGGAAGGGCGGACAAGCTAACTACAGAAGCATGACACGGAACATGACACAGGGCTGCCCAAGCCGGGTCAACAAGGGCTTCTCAGAGCTGGTGGCCTCTTGGTTGAGTTTGGAGGGATGGTAGGTGTTTGTCAGGAAGATACTATAGGGATCGGGCTTTGCAGGGAGAGGGAATTCCCTATGCAGTGGGGCCTGGACGGCACGCTGTGGCTGATGAGTCCTGGGCACCATGGCTAGGTCACGTCCTGGTGTAAGGGAAGGAGAAGGCTGGGGAGCCCGGGGTTATAGCTTCGACTGCAGACAGGTCCTGCCTGGACACCAACATTTTGGTGTCCTAATAGTTTGCCTAATGTTCTAGTACATTTCTACTGGGCTTGGACTCCACGCTCCCTTCCTCAGCCCCCACACCAAGCCCCTTTCCTACCTGGCTGCGAGCCCCCCAGGTCTCAGGTTGGAGACCCTGGGTTTCCCATCTTTGTCGGTGCCCCCTGAGATGGTCAGGCCGAGTGTGCTCCCCTCTTTTTTCATCAGCTCCACCACAGTGAGGCCCCGGAACTCCTCTGCCGATGGAGAAAGGGGGTGAGCGAGCAGCACGGGGCAACCTGGGCTCCCACTTGGAGAGCAGAGCACGTCCCTACGTTACACATCACCCCCTTTTTTACGGGCGAGGGTGGCTTGTTCAAAATCTGAGCGTGAGCCAGTAGCAGAGCCACCATCGCCTGACCCCGCCTAGGGTCCATTGCTTCTGTAGGGCAGGAGAGGAGCGGAGGACAGGAAGATGAGCTCCTTACCTGGAATGCTCTCTCTGCGGCATACCAGAGCCGCATCTGCGCCGCATGTGTCCTTGCCTGCTTTGAAGTAAGGTCCATCGTCTACGGAAGAGAAAGGGAGAAGAGCACCTGAGCTCAGCTTCCACCTCCACCTGCTTAGTGAACCGGTCCACACGGAGGACGCTGTTCTTTCGGGTCCCACTCTACCTAATTCTCTGCTGAGGATCCTCATGGCCTCTTCTCACAAAGAAGGTCTGGTCCCTTCTCTTGGGCTGCATAGCATTCTCCTGAGCCCTGCTGTGTGCTGGAAGCTTCACAGCCATTCTGCGGTTAACCAACCATTTCGGGGTCCCTACAGATGGCAGTGTCATTACAGGGAATAGTACTCATAAGAAAAATGAGGCTCAGAGGGGATGTCACACACCCACAATCACACAGCTGGTGAGATGTGTACAATCTGCATTAGGACCCAGGTTTGTTAGCTGCTTTGTCCAGCATTACACTTGCGCATCTGCTGGAACAGAGAACTCCCTGCTACACAGGGGGCACTTCAGTATGATTGTTGGCGGTGAGTGAGCGCAAACTGGTTTGGCCCTGTCTAGTCCTTTTTCTTGAGTCCTGCACTGTACAGTCTGCAGGGGACATTCTCAAGCATTCTGGCAGATAATTTTGCCTCCTTAGAATCAATTCTAGAAGGAGCTCTCCTATTATTTCTTCCAATCTTGCTGACCCTATTCTCCTCCTTTGGAAATGCTTAATAGATACACTTTGGGCCGTTCCACATTGTCTGTCATGACTCATACCTCTCTTTCTTATTTCCTATTGCTCTGTCTCTCTGGGGTGTGTCTAATCTGCAATTAAATCTGTCTTTAAAAAAAAAAACGTTTATGAAAAGTTTTGCCCATTCCACCATTTCGACATTCCACCTCTAAATATTTCAGTTGTGTCGATAAAAAATGGGAATGTATTTCCCATGATGAAAATACCATTACTAAATCTTACAAAATTAAGATAATTCCTTATTCATTAATATTCATACCATCCACAAATATAACATTACCACACCATACAAATAAAAAATCATTTCATTATTGCTAATCTGCTCACTCCATATTCAAATTTCTCCAGCGGGTTCTTCATTTCCATAAGTATATTGTTTTGTTTTTAGAAGCTTTGTTCTTGTGCTTATCTCTTCATATTTCGCTCTTCTTTTTCCCTTTTGCACCTTATGTTTCTAATCGCTTAAAGGACTTTAAGCCTTCATTTATTATTCTAATTTCTATTATCTCAAACTCTTGAGAGCGTTTTCTTCTGTTCAGAGGGTCCAAAGACTCTCCTTCATGGTGGAGTGTTTTCCTCACGGATTTGGTGATGTTGGATTGTGAGCTCATCTCCAGTGAAGTGTAACCTGCGGGAATCCTCTTCAACCTGGCTGAGGACATGTCTCTTCAGAACCCAGCGACTTCCATTCCTTTCCTTAGAAGCCTGACAATATTTGCATTAATTCACTGGTTCAAAGATCCCAGACCATAGCCTACAACCTACGGCTAGCGAGTCAGTTCTGAGCATCATGACCCTGGGCAAGGTTTCCCAGACTGTCAATCTGATGGGAGCAGCAGCACCTTGCTCCCAAAGAGTGGCTGGCAGGTGTGAAGGGCTGACCTTGTGGTTAGCAGCCCAATACTCCTCTCACAGCACCACTAGGCATCCTTTGAAAGCCACTGCCATCGAGTCAATTCAGACTCATAGCAACCCCATAGGACACGATACAACTGCCCGAGACTGAGTCTCTGACACTGTAACTCTCTGCAGAAGTAGAAACCCCATCTTTCTCTCACAGAGTGGCTGGTTGTTTAGAACTGCTGACCTTGCAGTCAAAGACCTTAGGAGACCAATGCTTAACCACTACACCGAGGTTCCTGGGTGGGGTCCTTAGAGCCATGCTATGAAATAAACCCACTGACATTGGGCCAATTCTGTCTCAGAGACAGCACACAGAGACCCTACAGGGCAGAGTAGAATTGCTCCCTAGAGTTTCCAAGGCTGTAAACATTTATGAACACATAAAGCCTCCTCTTCCTTCCATGAAGCAGCTGGTGGGTTCAAATGGCTGCCCTAGTGGTTAGCCACCCAATGGGTAAGCAATTCTACCCCCAGGGCTTCTTTAGGGCAAGGCTGGGGAATGTCTGGCCCTCAGGGCTTGAAAATCATCAATGCCACCCACACAAAAGAGAAGCAGTCCCAGCCATCACATTAGTGGAGCGCTCATGAAATGTTTGACCAACATGGCCCCCAAATGATGTTAAAAATGTCCAATTGGCCTTTGACAGAAGAAAGGTTCCCCACCCATGCTTTAGGGTCATGGGCGTAGTATAAATTCTAACCTTCAACAGAAACAAAGCACACTTTTGATCACAAATTCTCAAGAGAAAACACCCAAAGCCAAGTGAAGACAAATGAGATCTTGGTTTACCTTCCAGGTAGATGGGCAAATATTTTCTTTGTTGAGGATGTATCTCTTTAAAAGTCCTAGCATCTTGCTGGGGTGTCAGTTCCATTTAGGAAAGGTACCAGGCATTATATCCTGTGTGCCTGAGCCATTAAAACCCAAGCAGGCACCCCCGTTTGTTACCAGACCAGCAAACGCACCATTCCCATAGAGAAACCCCACCACACCATCAGCCTACACTCCCCTGACTGGTTTTCAGTTTTCTCTCTACATTTTCATTGGGAAATGCAGTAAATTTATAAATGAATTTGTGGAGATCTGACAACTTCACAATACTGAGTCTTCCAAAACAAGAAATTAGCATAATTCTCCATTTACTTTTGTCTTCTTTAAATTTCTCCCAAGGAAACTTTGTACCTTTATGGATAAAGGCTTTACACCACTGCCGTTCCAAAAATTCTTAGATATTTGAAGTATTTTAACGCTAGTGTAAATTGTATTGCTTTTCAAATATCATGTTCTAATGATTTGTTGCTGATATGCAAATTGATTTTATACTTCGACCATGTGTTCAGGTATTAATTCTAGTCATTTTTTGTGGACTCTTGGATTTGATACAAACATCGTCACATCATCAGTGAACGTGAATGTTTTATTTCTTACTTTCTAATCTTTCTGCCTTTTATTTCTTTTACTGGCCTTATTGCACTGGCAAGCACCTCCACTTCACAGCTGATAGAAGTGGTTCCACAGATCATAAGACCTCGTGTCAAATCTCACATCATGTTTGATGCCTTTAGTCTTTCTTAACTTCCTGTGAATTCACCTGTGTGTCCCATAGGAGTGTGGAACTAGAGGCTTTCAGGTAATCTGCTGTGTGATGATTCCTGTAGACTTCCTGCTCTACCCCCATGTCTGAAAGACTGCGCATTTTAGAGTCTCGTCCACGTCCTGACAGGACTGGGGAAGGGAGTTCAGCCACTGCGCGCCAGTCAGGCCACGTGCGCACCATCCGCTTGATCACAGTCATTTCTCACCATGATCACAAAGGAAGCGAGTGCTTTCATCACACCCACGTGACATGAATATTGCAAGTTCAAGAAAGAAAATCCTTGGCCCAGCTGGTGTCTGCAGAGTCAGAACCAGGACTCGGGCCTCTTTGCCCATCTCACCACATGCCCCAGCTCCCTGAACAAGTTAATTGCTTTTACCTGCCTCCTCTGAGCCACATTGCTCAGCCCTGCACTCAATGGGCAAGAGCAGGAGCCAAAGCCACGACTCAAAAGCCCATCAAACTGCTGAGCTCTCCCTGGTATCCTTGTAGGCCACCCCTCTCAGGCACCAGGTATACCCTAGCCTCCTTTTTCAGATCAGCCTCACCAAAGCCTTCATATAGACCGAGTCCTATGACTTCACTTGGCATAGAATTAAGAGAATGGGTCCAGAGGTTGGCCATGCTTGAGTGGAGACTCTGGTTCAGTCATTCACCTGCTGTGAAAATGGCTCTCCATCTCCCAGTTGCAGTAAGATCCAACTCATCGGGCCTGCCCACCTCTCCTCCAGCTCACTCCTTAGCGGTAGAGTAAGGAAGCAGGGCTGGGAAGGAATCAGAGCTGGAAGCCAGTAGAAGCCACTCATTCCATTCTAGTAACGATCTTGGCACCAAATCAGGGTCATCCAGCACTGGGGTCAATCTAGGTCAAGAACAGGACTCAGTCTGGGTCAGGTCAGGGCTCAACTTGAGGTAAGGGTCAGGATGCAGAAGCAGGAACAGGGCTCAGTCTATAGTAAGACTCTCAACCTTGACACCATCAACATTTTTTGCTCAATAATTCTTTGTGGTGGGGTCTCTCCTCTGCACTGTAGTGATGTTAGGTACCACCCTTGCTCTCTAAATATCAGATGCCCTAATTGTAATAATCAACAATGTCTGTGGTATTGTCAAATGCCTCCTAAAAAAAACCCCAATACTCACTCCCTCAACTTTCTCCCACGGAGCAATTGGTGGCCTTGAACTACTGACTTTGAGGTTAGCAGCCCCGTACGTAACTGCTTAGTCACCAGGGGAAATAGTATCATCCTTCCACCCATTACTATGGAGAACTATTGCCCTAGAGTCAGGATCAGGGCTCAGCCTAGATCAAGCCTTGGATTCCAATAAAGGTTCATGGCCAGTGCTCAACATGGGTCCGTGGAAGAGTTTAGCTGGAGTCAGGGTGGGGCCTCAGCCTGGGACTGTGAAAGCCCAAGAGCCTTCACCACCCGCAACTCAAACAGCAAAACAAAACAAAGCAAAAAATCTCCCTGCCATCGAGTCAGTGCTGACTCATAGTGACCCGATAGGACAGGGGAGAACTGCCTGGGTGAATTTCCAAGAATATTAACTCCTTGCGAGAATAGAAAGCCCCGTCTTTCTCCTGCAGAGTGGCTGGTGGCTTCAAACTGCTGACCTTATGGATCTCAGTCCAATTCGCAACCACGATGCCACCTGCAGCTCAAGCTACTGAACTATCAGCCTAGCTGCCCAGTTACTCACTCTGCTACCCAAGACTCGGTTCCCAGTGCTTGCCAGAGGCTGGTAAGAAAACAAGTCAAACAGCAGTTAAGCCCAGAATCATTGCCAGGGCCCCTGAGGTTAGACCTCAGAAGCTCTGCTCCCCCACCCCCACTCCACAGCAGGCCCCCCTGTGCACCTCATCCACCACCGATTCAGGCAATACTCCATTAAGTATAATGCGCCCATTATGACTCCCTAATACACACTTCATTTAGATTCAACAAGATGTTTCTGAGCTAATAAAATTTAAAAGGCTAAGTTCTATCAACTGTGTGACAATGAATGTCTCCAGTATTTCATGTGGGCAATCCGGGAATTAAAAACCGTCTTATCCCCTGCAAATTAGATTCTGTGGCTGAAACACCCATCTTGTTTCTCTGTGTTCTAGAAAGATAAGAGATAAGCTTGCTGCCTTCAGGTTTGGGTGGTCTTGCTGGGGGAGGGGGGAATAATGATCTCTTCAGGAAGAACAGGGAAGCCGAGGACTGTTTGCCAGTAGACCTGAATCCCAAAGAACAAAGGGTGGAAAGGTGGTGTGGTTTCATGGATGGCTTTTTTTTAAAATGTAGAACTCTTTATTAAAAGTTACACATACATAGTCTTAACTATATGATCCAGCAGTTGATTTAGTTGGATATGTATATGATTGGCACTCATATCCACACAAAAACATTCACATATGAATGTTTATAGCAGTATTAGAGTAGGTAAAGAAACTGTCTGTATAATAATGTTCAGCAATAAGAGGAATGAGTTATGTCATTACCAAAAATATGAATGAATCTTAAATCCATATTTCTAAGTAAAAGGAAACAGTATGGAAAGGCTACGTCTAATATGATTACAGTTGTATTTTGCAGAAGACAAAACTATAGAGACTCTATTTTTGTTTTCACTGATGACTTTTCTATGACTGTTCCCATCATGGTCTTGCAACTCCCACCAAATGACTGGGTGGGACTATGCAAATAAATTGCTTGTGGCCCCCCCAGGGGAATGGACATTTGCAAATAATGCAAATAAGGTGGGAACATGCCAAATAACATGTATGGAACCCTCAGGGGGAGGTTGGCCAGTTTTGTCATCCTGTTAGCCTTAAAATGAACCATCCCAGAGGCAGGAAGAGGGGACCCCGCTGCAATCAAGAAGAACAACCATAGTGAAGCATATCCTTTGGACCCAGGGTTGCTGTGCTGAAATCCTCCTGGGTCAAGGGGACAGAGAGAGCTGTAACACGAGAGAGCCAAGAGCAACTGCAGAGAAATGGCAGCCGCAGAGCCAGGCAACCAACAGGAAATGACGCAGTGGCTCAGGGAGCAAGGTGGCTACAGTTGAGGCCAGAGAGCTGAGTGCCTTTGGACAAAAGGCAGAGCAGGTACTTCTCGGTGAAGGTAAGGGCTCTGTAACACTTGCCTAAGCAGGGAAGCGCTGGGCCTGAGTGAGGCTGAGGGCTGAGAGAAGGCTGTCGTGGGGAGGGGGGAGGTGGTGGCGGG